GGTTCTGTGCTTTGGGTGCAGCAAGCCGAACTGTGAGCCACATAAACCTCTTTTCTCTCTAAATCACTCAGCCTCAGGTGTTCCTTTATAGCAACGCAAACACTCTAGGACCGGTGGCCCTGGGAGCTGCCCCTGAGCCTGGGTGTTTTCACTCTGCCGCTGAAGCCCACTGATGTGAAGTAAAGAGGGAGGCCGGCCCTTCCTACCTCTGGGCTAGTAATGAGCAGCCTGCTGGAGAAGGGGCACCCAAGCACCCCATTACCAACAGGAGGGACCAGAGGCCCGCACACTCAGTGATGGGGGTGCCTGGGGCTGGGGGCTGTCCCTTCCCAAGGAGTCCCAAAGAGTCCTTTGCTGCCTGAGGAGGAAAAAGAGCTATCCAGGAAGAAGGCCACTCTGGAGTCCCACCACTGGAGCTGTGGCATCTGCTGTAGTTTCTGTGACCCCAAGAATCACTCCGGACCCAGACATCTGGGCTGAGCCTCTGCCGCTCCTCCCTTACCTCCCTCTGCTGTGGCGGGACTCCCCTCCTGCCCTGAGGCTCTCTGAAATGCCTGCCCATCCCAGCAGGCACGCGGGAGTCAAGCCGACATCCTGATGAGGGAGCTGAGTTCCTTCCTTCTGCGGATTTGTGGGATGGACAGTGATCGCAAGGATGCTTCCTGTTTCTAGAGGCCTTCGCCTTTTTCACAACGCTGCCTCATGGGCTTCCTCCTTCAGGGCTTAAAATACCCGTAAAGGGCTGCGTGCCCCGGCTGCTGATTGTGTGGCGCGCAGTCACGCTGCGGCTGGTGGGTGACTGGAGCCCAGAACCCGCCTGGCTTAAGGAGAGGCTCCAGGCAGGGGTCCGTCCAGCAGAAGCTGGCTATGTCGTGAGCGGTGGCTCAGCATGGCTGGCTGTGGCCCTGTGACCTTGAATGAGTCACTTTTCATCTCTAGACTCAGCATCTTCCTCATTGAAAAGTGGGGTGGGGGTGGGGATGACTTCAGAGGGCCCCAAGGCTCCCCTGGGATTTTGTAGCAAGGATGGTGATGCTGCACCCTCAGCTTCTAAGTCACGGGTCAAAAGGAGCCCTCCGAGCCCTCCCAGAGGCGAGCACACAGACGCGCCGGGAGGGCACAGCTGCGCCCAGGCGCGCTCGTCACGTCCCACAGCTCCCTCTAAAGCCCTTGGTTCTGCCAGCTTAGGCAGTGCGTCACGAGAGCCTGGTGATGCACTGGCCGTGCCTGGAAAGGAGCTACCATCTGCCTTAATGAAGCTTACGGGGACTAAATGTGGCTGCGGAAATGCTGAATGCAAATTACCTCTGATTCACATTTGAAATGGGTCCCCCGTCCCGTTTTTGCGCATCACTGTCGGGTGGCAAGATCTGGAATGTCTTTTCTGGAGTTTGACGCTTGAGGGGTTCGACTCTGGGGCCCTGCCCACATCCCACCATTCATAGCTTTTGCTTTAGTCTGTGTGACACCGTGACTGGTCCAATGAGGGGGTCAGTCCTGAATGACCGAACGTCCTCTGGGACCCACAGTGAGCGTTGCACAGGCGTGGTCTGCCCAGTGGCAGACATGGACAGAGGCTGCTCTCAGACAGTGGGGTTTCCATGGGACCTGCACCCGTGAGCCAGGGCGCTTCTCCCACAGGCCCTCAAAACATGCTGAGGCCTGTGGTGTGTGCTGAGGTCTGAGGTCTGAGACGAGTTGGATCCAAAAATAGACAATCGAGTCAGTCTTGAAAAGTTCTAACAGAAACAAACCTCTCCGCAAGCAATACGGGGAGTCTTTGCCTAAAAGCCTCTTATGGAGCAAGGCGAGATAGGAAAATAAATGGTTCAAGGCAGTGTATAATTCAGCGTAAGCTGAGGGGTGTGGCACGGGCCTGTGAAAGTGCCTGGCACACAGAGGGGCAGAGTGGGGGGGGCAGAGAAGGGGAAGGGCGGAGGAGCAGAGTGGGCGGAGGAGCAGGGAGGGCGGGGGAGCAGGGGGGGCTTGAGCCCTTGTGGGGTCTTCCAGGTGGGCCCTAGAAGGAGACAGTTGCCGGGTGGTGCAGGAGAGAAGAGAGTGTGTTCCAGGCAGGAGGAGACCTGGGGACAAAGGCACAGAGGGCAGCTCAGAAAGACCTGGGTAAGGAAGCACCGCAACCCACGTGGCTTAAATCCACAGAACTTTCTTTTCTCACAGTTCTGGAGGTCGAGTCTGAAGCCAAGGTATGGGCTGGCCGCGCTTCCTCCGAAGGCTCCAAGGCCCAATGGGAGGTTCTCCCCCGCCTCCTCCAGCTCCTGGGGCTGCGGGCAGCTTCTCCCTGTGGCTTTGTGTCTGTGTCTCTGTTCTTCCTTCCTCTAAGGACACCAGTCGTTTTGGATTTGAGCTCACCTTCATCAGGTGTGACCTCCTCTTACATGATCATGCCTCCAAGACCTTATTCCAAATAAGGTCACATTCGCAGGTACTGGGGGTAGGGCTTCAACATGCCTTTTTAAGGGACACAATGTAGCCCCTAACATCATATCTAGAGGCCAGAGAGGCCAGCCTGCCTGACCTTTGGGGGAAGTTCTGCTGAGAAGCATCAGCGAATGAGGTTGGAGGAAGGATGTGGGGCAGACGGGGCTCTGGGTGGTCTCGGAGATGCTGCCACAGCCACGGCGGTGGCCACTGAGTCTCCTCCCTGAGAAACTGCCGCAGTGTTGGTGGGGTGGAGGTGGAGGAAGCGCAGCGTGGGGGTCATGGCAAGCCCAGGGGAGAATCACAGCACAGGCACCCCAGGATCTGGCATCCTTGACTGACGGCCCAGAACCTCCCTTGGGTCCTTCACACCCTCCCCAGCTGACCCAGGCGAGAACAGGGCAGGGTGGTGGCCCAGAGCCGCCCCACTCCTCCCTTTCCCAGCATCCTCTAGCTGAAGACTGCACTTGCTTACCCCCCTGGCCTGGCCGAGACTTGCTCAGAACTGAGCTGCAGGTGGAGGCTCTTCCCACCCAACTCTTCCTTCTCACCCATTTCCCAGGGTCAGGCTTCCCGGAGGTCTGAACCCACTCCTGCTTTTTCTCCCTTTATCCTTCATGGGCATTTCTTTTTTTTCTTTTTGATATGGAGTCTCGCTCTTTCACCCAGGCTGGAGTGCAGTGGTGCGATCTTGGCTCACTGCAACCTCCACCTCCTGGGTTCAAGCAATTCTCCTGCCTCAGCCTCCTGAGTAGCTGGGATTACAGGCACCCACAACCACACCCAGCTAATTTTTGTATTTTTAGTAGAGACAGGGTTTCACCATCTTGGCCAGGCTGGTCTTGAGCTCCTGACCTCGTGATACGCCCACCTCAGCCTCCCACAGTTCTGGGATTACAGGCGTGAGCCACCATGCCCGGCCCTTCATGGGCATTTCTTCCATTAAATCTCTTGCACATCTGATCCCATCTCAGCATGGCATCGTGACTGTTCAGAGAGAGTAGAAAACAAGAGGCTGTGAAGTTGTCTGTTTGTATTGAGAGAGAGCTGAGCTGAGCAATCCCTGTGACACCAGAATTTCAGTCTGAAGCAGATCCAGTTTTTCATTGAGAAGCGTCAAAGTCAACTCCACGACTGGAGAGATGTGGACGGAGACCAGAATAAAGGGAGCTCACTTTGACCTGCTGCAGAAATTTCAATTCGATCATCTACTTCCTGTTCTGTACTGGTGATTTTGCTAAGCTCCTTCGCAAACATTCCACCACAAGTTTATTGAAATTGACATGTTTGCTATTTTTCGTTTTACAAACTGGTCCTACATTTTTTTTAACAAAAGAGGTTTTAAAGTATTTTGAGCATTGGGAAAATCATTAGCGTACAGGTGGATCTTCCCAATGGAAGATTATAATGCTGGTGTTTGCATTCGGTGACATTCTCTCCCTTGCTCTCAATAAAAGTAGAATGGTAGAAGTGAACACAGGGCAGGCTGCTCTGCAATCTCATGCAGTCCTGGGATCAACCATTCTGTGAATCTGTTTTGTTTGTTTGTTTTTGGGATGGAGTCTTGCTCTATTGCCCAGGCTGGAGTATAACCGCACAATTTCGGCTCACTGCAAACTCTGCCTCTCAGATTCAAGCGATTCTCCTGCCTCAGCCTCCTGAGTAGCTGGGATCACAGGCGTCCACCACCATGCGTGGCTAATTATTGTACTTTCAGTAGAAATGGGCTTTCCCCATGTTGGCCAACCTGGTCTCGAACTCCTGACCGCAAATAATCCGCCCACCTCATCCTCCCAAAGTATTAGAATTGCAAGCATGAGCCACCGAGCCTGGCCCATTTTGTGAATCTGAATTTTAAAATGGAAAGAGATACTAAGGTTAAAAAAATGAGGAAGAGGTAAGAGTACACCAAAAGGAAAGTAGGTTTTTTTCCTCCCTCCTCAGCCCATCCCCTCAGCCCAGAGTTATCTGGTTACAGTGCTATGGGAATTTAACCATAAATAAATTGAACCTGAATTATGCCTGTCAAAGTAAGTGACCAACATCAGCTGATGGTTCTGAGTCTTGGCTTTGGCAGTCACTATTTTTTTTTCTTGCTCAAGTAACTTGAAAAATTACTAATGGACATCGCTAATCCCAGTCATTAGTAAGCTTTAGTCAGGCTCTCTTCAATTACAAAGGGAAAAGTTCTTTTCCTATAGCGGAAGATTAATGCACTCAAGTTAAAGCAGTTATTTATCTAAATCCCCACAGTAACAAGAAAAGCCAGTGCCTCTGCTTTACTTGAGGCTGAAAATGACCCTGGCATCCCACAAGCCTCATTTGGAGTCAGAAGGCCACCCACTCAAAGACTCGGTTTTTTTTTTTTTTTTTTGAGGTGGAGTCTCCCACTGTTGCCCAGGCTAGAGTGCAGTGGTGCGATCTCAGCTCACTGCAACTTCTCTCTTCCCGGTTCAAGCAGTTCTCCTGCCTCAGCCTCCTGAGTAGCTGGGACTACAAGCATGTGCCACCACGCCCAGCTAATTTTTGTATTTTTAGTAGAGACGAGGTTTCACCATGTTGGCCAGGATGGTCTCGATCTCCTGACCTCATGATCCGCCCTCCTCAGCCTCCCCAAAGTGGTGGGATTATAGGTGTGAGCCACCGCGCCTGACAAGACTTGGGGTTTTATGAACCACCAAGTTTTCCATCCCCACAGACACCCAGCATAGGCTTTGTGACAAAATCAAAGTCGTTCCTTGTTCAACACTGCTCCCACCCTGATGCTGCCCAGGGGAGCACTGGTCAGGGGTGCAGGCCTGACCACCGCGAAGGCCGTGGGGGCTGTGGGGCAGAGGAGACGCCGCAGCAGCTCAGTAGCAGGTACTTGTGTGAGTCGTAACTCTGCCGGCACAACACGTCTTCCCTTCTTTGCTTCTCTCCCCCCTGCCACGCTTCCTTACCTCCTCCACTTGTTCTAGAAAGAATAAGCCACAAATGAACAAAAATGACAACATGATTAAATTAATTAAAAGTAAGCAGTGTATTCGTTAGGACCCTTGCGTTGCAAGAGACAGGAATCCCACGCTATCTTAAGAAAATATGGGCATGTTCTTGACTCACAGGGAGAAGCAGAGGAGACACTGGTCTTAGGGACAGCAGGAACCCAGGCCTTGCTGTTCCTCCCATCTCTGAGTGCTGTACCCAGGCTCCCAGTCTGGCTGTCCCTGGAGCAGGGGTAGTGCCAGGCTGAAGTCTTACTGCCTCGAGACAAGAATGGAAAGGGCTCTGTCAGCGCCAGTTAGAGTCCCAGGGAAGGCTCTGATGGGCCACCGAGGACCAAGTCTCCCAAATGGGGGTGATTATGGTAGGCTGAGCCAGGACCAGGGAGGCAGAGTACTGGCATCCCCCCCAGACCTAAATATTGTGCTGAGAGGGGTCACTTCCCCCGAAAGGAAGATAGAGCAATTAGTGTATGCCGGATGTGCGCACACACCAAGCCAGCAGCACGCACCTGCTGTGGGTGGGCCACCTTGGATGACCTGCGTTCCTGTCGGCTCTAGGATTCACAAGGTGCAAACAGAGAGTTCCGGAGAAAGACAACTATTCTTGGTTCTAAGACCCAACAGGAATTTCTCTCTAGAGACCTTAGCATCTGTCTTTTTTTTTTTGGTTCAAGCTATCAGATTCCCAAGTTGGCTAGCAACCATGGCGCCTTGGCCTCTGGAACAAAATGGAGTCCCCTCCAAGAGGTCCAGGTGGAAGCTGTGCCCTCCATGGTGGTCTCGTGCCCTTTTCCTTGAAGCCCTGACAGCCCTGTGTCTCCTCTCCCTCCAGAGTCCCCTGTGCGAAGCCCAGCCCTGCTAAGGATCGCTCTTCTCAGATCCCACCTGATCCCTCTTCTGACTGAATAAAAATCCCTTCTTTCTGCCTGGCGCTGCAGTAGATCGCATCTCCGGACCTCAAGCTCTTTCCGTCATTCAGTTATCCGAAAGTCACTGGAGAAAAACCCGAATAAAATCACCAGTTCCTGTAACAACCGTTACACCTCACATGGGATAGTCTCTCTTCGGCAAAGATCTGAAGATGTTTGCAGACAAGTAAATAATAGTCCAAAAAACAGCGGATACCACCTACATAAAATGGAAAGGGGAAGTAGGCTGGCAACCCCCCTCCACATTCCCTCCCTGGGAGAAGGAACTCGGCACACGTGGTGTGCTGGGAGGCAGCCCTGCTCTGCTGCCCAGGGCCTCTGTGGTGAAGGGTATTCTCCAAGGCATCCCGGACAGCCACACTTCTGGTGGGTGACAGCAGGGTTGCCCAGCACGGCACCTGCAATTCTCTAGCAGGAAAGACAAATGCAAAGTGTGTGGCTGCTTTGTCTCTGGTTCCCAGAATACTTTCCAGGAGGAGGATCAGAGGAAGGGCGAGGGCAGTGGATCTCAAACTATATGCACTCATGTGTGCACACACACACTCTTACACATGCACACACACTCTTACACATGCACACACACACATGCACATACACATGCACATGTTTATGCATGCATATACACATAAGCTTACACATGCACACACAGGCACACACACGAATATACACACAAGGACACACACATGCACACATGCATGCACACACATGCCCTACCCCAAATTGCCCAACCACAGCCTGGGGAAAGAGCCCAGGCACTCCTGGACCCTATGCAGCAGGGCCTGAGGACCACTCTGAGAAACACTGCTCCTATCTCTAAGGCACCAGGCCCCCGGCCACCCTGGACCCACATGTAACAGCCTTCTAGGAAACACACTCTCCTCTTCTAGAAAATTCCTCTCCTCTGGGGGCCAGGTGTATTAGCTTCAGAGGGCAACAGGGCCTGTGCCCAGGAAATTGTGGAGTTTTTGCAATTTTCCAGAAGACTCTGGAGAGCAAACCACACTGACCGCGTGAAAGAGAGAGAGAGAGAGAGGAGAGAGACTGATAAGACTGATTCACTCTAAGGAATTAGCTTGTGATTTGGGGCTGCAAGCCTGCAATCTACAGGACTGGCCAGCAGGCTGGAAGTTCAGTACGAGCTGAGGTTGTAGCTTTGAGTCAGAGGCTGTCTGGAGGCAGAATTCCTTTTTCCCTGGGGCATCTGAGTGATTTCTCCCGTGGTCTCCAGCTGATTGGATGTGGCCTACCCTGCTTTGTAGGATGGAGGGTGAGCTGCCTTCAGTCTGCTGCTGAGTTAAATGTTAATCTCATCTAAAAAATACCTGCCATCAATAAATAAGGCAGAAATTACTGTGAAAGTCTATCTCCTCCTCCATTGCTTCCGACCAGTGTTTGACCAAACAGCTGGGTGCCGCAGCCTGGCCAAGTTGACGCTTAATGTCAGCCATGACAGAGCCCATTGAATCAGCATGTGGGCCTCCATGCAGAGCCATGACAGCCCGGCTCTGCCCCACCACTGATGGCTGTTAGCCTGGTGATCTCCGACATGGCCCCTGTGTAAGACACTCAGCCTTTCCAAACCTTGTATTTCTGTGTGGCGGGGTAGGGGTGGGAGTATAATTCCTTCCGTAAGAATGAAATGAGCTCATATCCATGAACACACCGTGAAATGGAAACTACTCCACATCTCTGTTTCTCGCTGTGGTGGGAGTGGGCTCAGCAGGTATTTCCTGTCTTTGTGTGTCCACTGCGTCATCACTCCCAAGCTCCTGCAGTGGAAAGGCCCTAGTGATCTGCCATCATCAGCAGGACGGGCATTTGATGGCTCAATCGGTGCAGATGGGTTTCTGATGACTCATCGCAACTCAATAAATATCTATTGCCTGAGTGCAGGAAGAAAAAGCAGCCACTTCTTGCACCTAACACACAAACTTTTGGTGTCCAACTCAGTTCTCCAAGGGTCCAGAGAGAAAGGTAGAGAGCGTCCTCCACAGACTCCTTGACGGCCTAGTGCCCAGGACCTTGGAAGTCACCCCGCCAGGCTGCCTCCTTCACAGGTGAGGGCAGTGGAGGCTCAGAGAGCACGTGCCTGCCAAGCCTGGCATGGGATGGCCACGGGTCCAGGACTGTGGCCCAGCCCTCCTGTCCAGCATCAATACATAGGACAGAAATTACTGTGAAAGTCCATCTCCTCCTCCACTGCTTCACATCTTTTCCAGAATAAATGCCAGATAGACAAAAAAAGATTTAAATGTAACATGGTTTTTATGTAAAAAAAAAAAAAAAAAAAAAAAAAAACTAAAGAAACCATAAAAATGTAGAAGTAAATATGAGGGAGATTTTAAAAAAATAATTGATTCTTTAAATATGACAAAACCCCAATGGCCGTAAGAAACAAATTAATAAAATAAAACATATGAAAAGAAAAAAATCCAACATGGAAAAAAGGCGTAATAAACAAAGTCAGAAGACAATAACAGAAGAAACATTTGCCACCCACTGATGAGGAGCTGATTTCTTTATCTATAAAAAGCACCTATAAGTAGATAAGAAAATGACCCACCCAATAGGAGAATGGGCAAAAATCATAAATAGATGAGAGACAGAAAGGGAATTGAAAAAGACACACTAATGTGTAAAAAGATGCACGTTCTTATTGATAAAAGACGTGCAGTCTCATTTATAACAAGAAAAATACACAGTAAAGGCACAAGATACTCTTCACCTAAGAGACGGACAAATATGAAGAAGTTGGAAATAGATCGTGTGGGTGAGGCTGCAGAGGGACCGGTGTGTGCGGACACTGTTGGTGAGGTGCAGACTGACGAGCGTCCCAAGGACAAATCACTTGTTTACGGAGCTGAATCCTGTCTTCATGCCCTGTGCTAGCAAGTCCCTATCTAAGCATTTATCCTTCACCACAGTCCAAGATGTGTGAAAGGACATGTGCACAGCATTCCAGCGTTGGAAACAGCCTACGTTTTCATCAGCAGGGGACTGCTCACATACATGTATAAACAACGATCGTAGTTTATACAATGCTGGTACCATGGAGTACTGTGCAGCTATTCTCAAGAACGAAGCAGCTCTCCATAAAAGGGTAGACACAATCTTCCAGACTTACTGCTGAGTAAGAAGAAAAGGTAGAGAACGTCGTCAGAATCAGGCCTCCTCTGTGGGGGGAGAATGCCTGCTGGCACCCCACCCTCCCACTCTCCTCCAGAGTCCGTCTCACCTTTTCTGTCTCTTCAAACCTCCCATCCACTGGTGGCACTGCCTCTTACTCACAAGGAAAGCAGAGGCGCTCAGGAAAGAGCTTTACAAGCTCCCTGACTGTTTCCCGAGCTGCATTCCATGAGTCTCTCCCTGTCACCTGGGTGAGCTGTCCCGTCTCCCACCTGTTGGCGGCCAGCCCTGCCAGTGGTCCAGCTCATCTCTCTTGTCTGTGGGGTTTTCCCTTCTCTTTCCTGCACCATCAACACGACTCCCTCCTCTGACTGTTACAGGATTATTAGCACATGAACATGCTGTAATATCCCTTATCTTTTTTTTTTTTTTTTTTTTTTTTTTGAGATGAGGTCTCACTCTGCTGCCCCGGGTGAAATGCAGTGGGGTGGGTTTGGCTCACTGCAGCTCAAAAAGTCCTCAGCCTCCTGAGTAGCTGGGACCACAGGCATTGTCCCCCCCCCCCGGGCTTTTTTTTTTTTTTTTGTAGAGATGAGGTTTTGCCATAGTGCCCGGGCTGGTCTTGAACTCCTGACCTCAGGTGATCCACCAGCTTTGGCCTCCCAAAGTGCTGGGATTGCAAGTGTGAGCCATCGTGCCTGGCCATATCCCCCATCTTAAAAAAAAAAAAAAAAGGAAAGGAAAAGAAAAAAGAAAAACCCTCTCGACCCACATTTTTCCCTGCTCACCACCTCATTTCCCTGCTCCCCCACACAGCCAAGTTCCTAGAAATAGTTCTCCGCTATTCACTGCGTCCCTTCCTCTCTCTGTCCTGCGCCGCTCCCAGCAGGCTACAGCTCTCACGCTCCTCTGCTCCTGCAAGCTAACCAGCGGCTTCCCGGTCGCCAGATGCCCCCGTCAACTCTGCGTCCTCTTCTAAGTCACTGCTGCTTCTCTCCCTGCACTCTGCGGCCACTCTCTCCGATTCCCTGATGACTGCCTGGCTGCTCTTTCCTGGCTCCTTCGTCGGCTCTTTCCTATCTCCCCAGCCTCCAGCTGTCGGAGGCTGCGAGGTACAGTCCCAACTTCTCCGCTAGCTACACTCTCACCCTAGACCACCTCTTCCCACCTCCTGGCTTTAGATCCCATCTCTTAGGGGATGACTTCCAAACGAGCGTCTCCGCCACCCTCACCCCCATCCCTCTGAAATCTGCACTTGGGCGTTCTATGTATGTCTGAAGTTTACTGTATCCAAAAGCAACGATTTCCCCAGCCCCTCCCTGCTCCTCCCTTCCCAGTAAACGGGGTAACTGCAGGGGCTCCCATGCCACCCTTTCTTCCTCCCCAACCCCACATCCAATCTACCACCAAATTCTGGGGATTCTGTCTTCAAAACATATCCAGAAACAACAATTACTTCTCACCACCGCTCCTCTCCCAGACTGGCCCGAGCACTGTCATCTCCCGCTTGATGACACAATGGCCTTCTCACTGTCCCCTCGTTCTTTCCCTGTCACTCGCACAACCTGTTCTCTCCACAGCTGCCAGGCTGCTCAGATCCTTTCAAACTGGAAGCAGGTCGTGTCATTCCACTAGCGGATGTTCTCCGACACCATCTCATCTCACTCAGATAAAAGCCACGGCCCTTCCTGTCCAATATGTTAAGTCCTACTGCTCTCTCTCACCAACTCAAACACCTCAAGCTCACCCTTCCGTCTCCTGGAGCTCTCTCCCCAGCTACCCACATGGCTCCCCCCACCATATCCTTCAGACTTCGGCTCAAATGTCCAGTGACTCTAGGGCTGCAGCCAAGGCTGCCCGGCAGAAGCTGGGTCCACTGAGGGAGGGTCAGGCTAGTGGGCGACAGCCACAGAGGAGGAAATGCTGCCCACGACGCTGCTGATGGCAAAGCAACAGCAGAAGAGCCCCCTCGCTCCTGTGTCCTCCTACCCCCCCCCCCCCCCGTCCCACCTTCTCCTATTGGCCAAAGCTGGCCAAGCACCAGTTGGTGAAAGATCCTGGGACGATGAGCCCTGGCAATCCATAGTTGGGCAGGCCAGGGACTGGATCCAAGAGCAGGCGCAATGGACCTCACCGAAACAGACTCCTGCGCAAATGAGCACAGCCCCACACTGGCCGCTAGGTCAGTCTTTGAGGGAATGGTCACCATGACACTATTCTAGAGATGTGTCGGTGAGCGCCTTGGTGAACAATTTGCTCCAGCTTCTTAAACCTACAAAGATAAAGAATAGGCTTGGAACCAATGGTCCTACCAAGGCAGACTCCCTGAAGGTCCATGAGAAACAGCTGCTCTCTTTGCATCCTAATCACAAGAATCACAGGCAAATTTGCCGGCCTCAGTGTGGACCACAGTGAGCACTGGTGGCCTTTGGCGAATGCCGTGTTTTGGCAGTGAGCCCCTCCCACTCTCGCCCTGCACATAAATATCTTTGGATACCCAAAGAAATGTCTGCATCCATCTCTGTCAGATACTGGCAATTCCCTAAGGTCATGGGTGCACAAGCTCTGCAATGTAAGGAAAATGTTCTCTTATGCAGGTCAAAGAACAAGGAACTTTGTTTTGTAATTACGCTTTATTTTTGACCTAGAGGGCAAAAAGCTACAATGAGCAGAGCTAGAAATAAACAAGGCAAGACCTTTCATAGGACGGTGCTATCAGGAGCGTGTGTTGCAATGATCCAAAGAGCTTTGTGCAAGCCCATGGTACGGAGATCTACTTGGAAAGTTTCTCACTGTCCCAAGACCTCACGCAATTCTTAGGAGTCAGGCTTAGGAACATTTTACAAATTACCTTTTGACCCACATGGCACAAGGAGAATCGTCATAGGCCACTATGTCCTTGAAGACCGCCTGCACGCCTGGAGTTTTTGAACTAACCATCTTTGAGGGCTTAGCTGTGTACCAAATGGGCATTTACTGATGAGGGCATGAAGTGCTAGTGAACAGGGACAGAGAAATTCTGGAAGGGTCATGCATGAGTCTAACTCAGGGTTTGTTGGGGGCTTCTGGGCGGAACACAGCTTGCACGAGAGTCTGGATGATGCTGTGCCTTTCTAGCAGGGCTTGGAGGTCAGTGGGTCTCTGTCTCTGTGCACCTGGTCCTCTGGAACATGAGCTGGTGCTCTGCTCTGAAAACGCTGCCAAGTCCGAAGGCATAGCATGCAAAATCTGTTTGTTCTGGAGTCATGTTGAAAAGCCGTAAGTGGCACTCTAGAGGTCAGATCTGGGTGTCAGCTGCATTTCAGCGGAATGGATGGTATCAGTGGGGCAGGCAAAACAGGGCTTCAGACAGACCCTCTCATGCAAGTTAACAGTCAGATGAGCATTGCAGTATAGGAACTTTCAGGCCAATATCATTACCAAAGTAATTTTATTTGCTTGGGAAATTATTACAATTAATTTGCATTACATAATCATGTGCCAAAAGACGGGTGAGAGGTCAGAAATCAGTGAAGAGCCATATTCAGGTAATAGTCATATTCAAAATTTCCCAAGATTAATCAGGATGTCTATTGCACATCGAGAGCTCACAACTAAGTCAAGAACCAACACACACAGACCTTTAGTCAAATTCTGCAGCCTAGGGAGACCCAACCTTCCACCCTAGTGGGAGGTAACGCTGGGTCACTAGGATAAAAGTCACATGGGACACTCGGCAAAAACACTTATAAAGGCAGATGTTGACCGAACCAAAGACTATATTCCCAACTAATGCTATTTACGTGTCTACTACCCTTAGTCAGGAAGAAGGCATCATTGCTGGGGATTACCTATTCTATTATTCAGCAAACAGACACCTCCTCACTGCACAGTGCTTGCGGATACACATGCCCTGCTTGCTGAATCTGTCCTTCTGTAGAACTGCTGAGTGCGTGCTTAGGCACAGAGCTGGTTGACACACCACGCCATTCTCCAGAGAGAAGATAATGCACAGCAAATCTGTCATCTGGGAGGACGCTGCTACGGGGTTCCCCTTTACCTTAATCCAAAGTACTTAGGACTGCCTTCTGGTTGACTGGCATCATGGATGAAGAGCTACCTGGAACACAGACCAAGGAGGTGGCTGGCACAGGTGCCAGGAAAAATAAAAATGGACCCAGGGGCAGTCGGGGAGTCAGGAGATGTGTTGTCCCAAGGTGGTCTTCCCACTCGTCCCGGGCCCCTGCCTCCACCTCTCTGCGTGGATCATACTAAAGACTCCATTTGTACCAGGGAGCAAAAGCCATCACAAGGTTACACAACCATTGCCCAAGCTGAAAGGAAATAAAAACTGGAATGTGACTGTTTGCCCTGGTTTTCACGATTAGATAACATCCCCTTAGCTTGGTATTTAATGAGTTATCAAAGCATTTACGGAGTCCTGGAACCAGACCGTGCTGTTTAGTTTTTCTAAGAGTTGTAAAATGGAGCCATCGGCTTCCTGTATATACAAAGCATTGTTCTCTCCAGCTGTCACAGGCAAATAGACCAAAGCAGCTAAGATATTCTTGGTTGGTCCTTCTTAGTTCTCCAAGGTTACCCCGAAGGCATTTCCTACAGTCTGGAGCAGAGTTTTTAAAAGCGGAGGGGGCCACAGTTTTTTGTGTTTTTCTAGAGGGCATAGCCAATGAATACCTATGGATAGAAGTGAAATGAATGTCAAAGCGGATTCCAGCAACTAGGCTTCTGTTCTCTTTATCTGTAAAGTGGATATGATTGTTCTTCGAGGGGATTTTAGTGGAAATTAGGTGAGATAATTAATATGAAGTACCTAACAAGGGGCCTGGCGTGTCATTGGTGATCAAAAAGTTCCTTTCTTCTTTGCAGTGTGGAATCCACTGTCACCGAGAATGGAACTCATCAGACACAGACATCCATCCCCGGATCACAGAGCTTCCTTCTAGCACTTACCCAGGGTCAGCATGGACTTCAAGCCCATGAGGACACCCCCAATTTTAAGACTTTCTACGTGGTTAATGCTATATAAAGATGACTCACGGTTTCCAAAGTCATTTTCATTTATATGGAGTAACAGACAAGACAAAAACAAACAAACAAGAGCATGGGAGGGTGGAAGGGAACGAGTAAGTTTGGAACATCAGGTTAAGTGAAATGAAACAGCTAGTGTCCCCTCCATAACTGAGGATTTCCTTTACGTTAACTCTCATACTCTGGGTGTTTCCCTTCTCAGCGGTTTGTAAGCCCTGGCCCTGGGTGCAGCACTTTAAATGATCACCTCTGAAGGAAGCTTTGCCTGGCTGGGGAAGAGGTGGCTCACCATTGCAAGCCTGTGGGTTGACCTGGAGCCCTGGGAGGTGACAGCACTCAGAAATGGGGACCCCAAGTATTTGCAGGTGATGCTGGTCTGGGATACTAATATAGTGGGACAGCAATGACACAAACGCATGTGTGGTATAAAATATGCCAATCCTATCTGCCCCCTCATTCAATGTGCTAACACGTGTAAGGGCCCTTAGCACTGTCACACAATAGAAGCTGCATGTTATTAACCCTCACGCTCACCAGCCTGGACCAGTGATGCCCCAACAGGAAGCAGCCTCAGTGATATGGTTTGGCTGTGTCCCCACCCAAATCTCATCTTGAATTGTAGCTCCCATAATTTCCATGTGTTGTGGGAGGAATCACGGGGGTGGGTCTTTCCCATGCTGATCTCATGATAGTAAGTCTCACGAGATCTGATGGTTTTTAAATGGGAGTTCCCTTAGACATGCTCTCTTGCCTGCTGTCATGTAAGACATGACTTGCTCCTCCTTGCTTTCCACCATGATTGTGAGGCCTCCGCAGCCATGTGGAGCTGTGAGTCAATTAAACCTCTTTCATTTATAAATTACCCAGTCTCAGGTGTGTGTTTATCAGCAGCGTGAGAACAGGATAATACACTCAATATGCCCCTCTCTCCAACGAGCTATCCCAAGTCATCTGTAGGAAGGGCATCGGGTGGTGTTTTAGTTGTTTCTGTTTGTTTTTGATTTCCAACTTATGGCGGAATGATACTTTGTAAAATTCCATAAAAGATAAATTACAAGAGCAATAAAATTAACAAAGACGTACCAAATACAATCAGGACAAAAATACATGCTCCCTTAAAGAGGCCACAGAAATATTCTGAAGACTATCTCACTTCTCTTACAGATGGGGCAAGAAGAGACCTGCCCCGTTGTAGCTGGTCAGAGGCAGTCCTCTGGCTGGAGCAGGCTAGGTGCTTTGGCCCTGGCCCTAGCCCTGTCCCCAGCCCCAGCCTGGCCCTGGCCCTAGCCCCATCCCCATCCCCATCCCCGACCCCAGCCCCAGCCCCAGCCCCAGCTCCAGGCCTGGCCAAGTTCTCCTTCTCATCCTTTCCCAGCAGACAACGGGGAGGTGAATGAGACACTGGCCTTGGGTGCAAAATTTAAGGGGGTGCCAAAACCTCAGTCACCAAGATAAAGAATATTTAATGCAATATATTTCCAAATATTAGAATATTACATAAAGACAGGATCAGCAACAGTGCTGAGCCGAGCAATATTGGTGCCTGAGAGAAAAGGCAGAATCTGTGACATTGTCAGAACTTTACTTAAAATTTTGTCCTTTTGTTCAGCACAGATTTTACCGCATTAATTTTATGAAGGAGGTCATGGGTAGCACATACAGAAACAGTGAACGTCAGGGGTCATTATATGAAAAACGTTGCGTGGGGCCATCACAGTTAGCTCCTGGCTAGAATAACGGTGAGCACACCAGCGGGAGGGGAAGATGGGGGTTTTCAGAAAATGCCCCAAATCAAGACAGTTACTGTGTTCCCTCCACTCTGAGACTCCACCAGTTAGAAGATATGTGATCAATTTGTTGATGTATCTTTAGAAGGAAAACAATGGCATGTACGCTTCTTCTGACACCATCTATAAGCAACTCCTGTAATTCAGAGATATTCACATATAGAGCCCTGAAGGGAAAAATCCCAAATTGGTTTTTCCTCTGCTCACACTACAACAATCGTCAATGCAGAAGATCTGTGCCACCACACGTGTGTTGGGAGGTTCTCCCCATCACCAAGCACGCATCCAGTTCTGCAGTGAACACAAGCTAGGTGTCTTCCCACACATTACTGACACTGTCTGCTTGGAGATAGATAGCGGCAAATCCCACAGGTTGAGGGTTCAGTCCCCAAGGCACCCCCTATCCCTTCAGACACCAGCTGCCAAGTCTGGGTATCTGGAGCTTCTGACTGACAGGCTAGGCTCTCAATTGGGGTTCTCACAACCTCCTCTCAGGTTCATTCATTTGCTGTGGTACACAGAACTCAGGGAAATGTACATTTACACGTTTATTATAATGCATATTACCAAGAACACAGATGATGGGATGTACAGGGAGAAGAGTCAGGGAGCTTCCACGCCCTCCCCGGGCATACTGTCCTCCAGCAGCCTCCATGTGTCCAGCGATCCAGAATCCCCCGAACCCACACCTCTTGGGCTTCTTACAGAGACTTTGGTGAACAGGCATGATTGACAACCATGCAGAAATGTGATTGGACTAAAAGGTATGATCTAATAGTGACTAAGTGTGGACACCCCGCAAGGCCTGTCTATTCCGATTGTTCTCCAACTCTCTGTGCAGTATCTCCTCCTCCCAGGAATGGGGCAGGACCCCTTCTGAATAGAAGCCCTTAAGTTCCACAATCAGAAAGTTGGGAGGGAATTAGAGTCCTGCCTTGGGCTGGTGAGGTGGTGAAGGCGGTCAGGGGGAAGATCAGAGGAGAGATTGTTTCCTGGGGCTGCTTCTGAGGCCGAAAGCACCCCAACATTATAACAAAAGATTGTGATGAGGGCAATGGGAATGCTGAGCCAGGAACCCTGACAAAACCCAATATTTATACCTCGTAATATCACAAGGACCCCAAAAAAGGGGTGAGCTCTTAAAATGCAGGCAATACAGTAAATGTTTTAATTCGGGAGGCACTAAAGTCTTCGTTCCAACAAAATTAACTCAGAGAACAAATTTATTTTAGTGATTTTACATATTTATACAGATCAATCAACACAAGTACACATTATAACAATTGCTAAAAACTGTCCATAAAGAAAACATTTTGAATGAGAAGCACCATCGCTGCTTTCTCCTTCTAGGTCACCCGGTGGAGTGAGGTCCCTGCCAGGGGCTCTTCCCAGACTTCTCGTTCCATCAACTGGCTTCCTTCTGATGGCCCCATTTTCCTTTCAAACCAGTTCTCATCAAATGGGGTGGCTTATGCACCCTGGCAAATTATCAGTTTTGACAAGGATTAAAACTGTTAGCTAAAGAGATGACACAAACGACAACTGGGAGTAATTTTTAGTGGGGATGGAGGCTAAATATTACCCCTCTCCCCTTTTCTACTTCTACCCAATATCTTGAGCATTCAGTGGAAAAATACAGTCTTGCTGGGTCTCTCAAAATCCTCTAGGCTTACCCCTGTAATCCCAGCACTTTGGGAGGCCGAGGTGGGCAGATCACCTGAGGTCAGGAGTTCAAGACCAGCCTGACCAGCATGGTGAAACCCTATCTCTACTAAAAATACAAAAATTAGCCAGGCGTGGTGGCCTGTAACCCCAGCTACTTGGGAGGCTGGGGCAGGAGAATCGCTTGAATCCGGGAGGAGGAGGTTACAGTGAGCCGAGATTGAGCCACTGCACTCCAGCCTGGGCCACAGAGGGAGATTCCATCCAAAAAAAAAAAAAAATCCTCTAGCAAGAAGCCAGCCAAGACGTCTCCCACCTGTGGGGCACCAGGATGGCTGCTTGGTTGCTGAACCCACACAGGGTCCTCCCTGAACATCTGCCCCTGTCAGGCTCTGTCTCTGGACTGGGGATCTTCCAGCTGGTTTCATTCTGGACCAGAGAGCAGGGGAGAAGGAGAAAGAATATAAACCGACCCCTGTGAGCCAGGGAACCGCCCAAGCTGTAAGGGTTTTGTGCAAGCTGCAGGAACTCGGGATGGAGAAGCTACCCAGCAAGCGGCCAAAAGGAAGGGTGCTTCTCCCCCGGGGCCGCACGCCCGCTTCTTGAGGGATGGTCGCTAGGGTGGGCTGATCATGCCTCCTCTGAAGAGGGACTCCTGCGAAAGCACCACCTCAAAAGGAGTAAATGGTGTCCCCAAAGCGACCCCTGTCGCGATATTTCTGCGGGTGGCCTCCCTGCATTAGTGATTACCCAGAGCGGCTGAGCTGACGTCAGCATTCTGGAAGAGCCAATAACCTTTGGGGTCATCACAACCTCAGAAACTAGAGCAGGAGGGGAAGCGACCCCCAAGCCAGCACTCGCCCTACTTTCCACCTGGGAGCCGAGGTCGAGCGATCCTGGGCGCATCTGGGGGTGGGGACACACCGGACCCCTCCCCCAACCCCAACCCCTCTAGGGCCCTTGGACAGCGGGCGGTGCTGGATGCCCACCCGCGGCTCCAAAGGCCCTGGGCAGCGCGGGGAACCCTCGCCCTGGTCTTCGAGCCCTCTCCTTCCCCCAATTCTTTCTGCAGTCTCAGGAGCCCCGCGTTTCCCGCGGCGTGGGGACACGCACTTACCGCGGATCCACTGCGCAAACCTTGCTGAACCTGAAAATAGCCGGGTGGGTTGGGGTGGGGGTGGCGAGACCCTAATCGCACCCAGCGCCACGCACCGCTCTCCTGGCGGGTTCGAGCGCACGCGCCGGGGGCGGCGGGACCCAGGGACTGCGGTGTTTCGCGAAGCACGTGCTGCTCCACTCAGCACCGGGAGACCGTGGGCTTCCCCGCTGCGGCGTCTGCGGCGCGGCGGGGAGGGGCGGGGGCGTGTTTCGGGGGCGTCGGGCCCACACCGAGGTGCGGGGAGGCGGGATGGATCTGAAACTAGCTCGGAGCGAGTCCCGAGCCGCGGCGGCCGCAGGGGACCGGGCGCGGCGACCCGGGGCGGCGTGGGGCGGCGGGAGTGGGACGGTGGCGCTGCACGCCGCGCACTTCCTGTTCAACGCGCGCCGCCTCCCGCCGCCGGAGCTCCCGGAGCCTGCGTCGGTGCCAGGCCCGGCCCCTCACTGTCCCCTCGCGGTCCCCCGGGGCCGCGGCGCGGGTAGAGGGGAGGAGTGGGCGCCCTGCCCTCCTGGGCCCGCGGGGCTCCGGGCTCCCCCTCCGGCGCGCAGAACCGAGCTCGCCGCCGCCAGAACTTCTGCTGCCAGCGGCCGCCCGTAGCCCAATTGCGCAGAGGGCTCGCCTTGCACCTCCTCTTCCCCCGCCGCCCTCCCTCTCGCCCAGAAAGGAGGACGGACCCAGCTGCAGGCTCCGGGCTGGTTTATTCTGCGGCCAAGGATTAGATTTATGCACGAACGGTCTCACCGGCTCCAGATTCCCCACTTGGGCACAGGCATAGGAGGGTTGTTTTCCAAATTGCTGGTTTTAATTGCACCTGCCTTTCCGATTAACTCTGGAATCTGTGGGAGGAGCCAAGAGGGTGGAAAATGTTTCTTCGATTTGAAAAAGGAAGAAAACTTTGTCACCCAGCGGGAGACCTCAGCCGCGCGTAACTCGGCGAGACACCAGAACCCGGACGGGCTTTGACTGACTCTTCCTGCGACGGTTCCGTAGGGAGGGACGCTTGAACTCGGCGCTCCCGCGACGGCGGCGCGAGTTCCCTGCTCACCCTCCCTCCCCGCGGAAGTCCCCACGAGGTGGCTTCAGGGTGGAAGGGCTGTGACAGAGCGCAGGGCTCCAGTCCGACGGCAGCGGCCGGGGGAGGGAAGGAGGAGACCGAACCTCCGAGGAGTTACCCAGAATCAACTTGTGGTTAGAGTTATGGGAAGCGCGGTTATGGACACCAAGAAGAAAAAAGATGTTTCCAGTCCCGGCGGGAGCGGCGGCAAGAAAAATGCCAGCCAGAAGAGGCGTTCGCTGCGCGTGCACATTCCGGTGAGTCCCAGCACCCGGTCCCCGGCTCCCCAGCCCTCCCGTTGCTCCGGTCCTGGCGCCGAAGCGGTTAACGCCGGACGCCCCGCGCGCGCCGCGCGTGCCCCTCTTGTCACTTGCGGCGGCTGGGGAAAGGGTGGAGGGACAGGGCCCGAGGTGGGCCGGCGGAGCCGGGGCTCGATCTCATTCTCCGCCCGCGTGCAGCCTGGGCTGGAGCCCCGCCTGGGGCGGTGGCTGGTCGGTGGCTGGGCGGCTGCAGACTCGAGGGGGTGCCAGGCGCGCTCCCGGGCCAGGAGTGGCTGGTGGGTGGCTGGGCGTAGCCCGGGATCCAGCCGGGTGCGGGTGTGGGGGGCGGTGCGTTGTGTTGTTTTGCTGAAAAGAGACGGTGTGGACTGCGCTTCGGGGAGGTGGAGCCCGCGAGCGGCTGCCGGAGACGGAGGGAGGGGAGGGGAGGGGAGGGGTTGTGGGTGGGGAAAGCAGCGGGACGGGGGATGGGGGAGCCATGTAACTGCGCCTTCTAATGCACCCCCTCCACCCCAGTTTCCCTCGGGGTGTTTCTGGGCCTGGGGCGAGGGGCTCTTCTGCAGCTGTACCCTTCCCCCGCCCCGGGAGTGTACTTTGGGTCTCCGTGGTATTTCGGGGCTCGGAGATCCCTAACCCGTGCAGACTTCGTTGAACTTCAGCCCCGACCGCGCCGGCTGCCTGGGAGGACATTGGCGACTGGGATCTGTCTGTGGCTTCGCTTTGTCCAGCCAGGGGGGCAGCGGGCCGGGTCGGGCTTCCTCCCTTTGGACGGCGCCCGGGTAGCCCGCGGCCGCTGGTCCTCGCCTCGCTGTAGAGGGGTCGGGTGGTAGGAGGTGCGGCGACCCACTGGGTCACACCCTCCGCCTCAGCCAACCAAGTAAATGTTTGTGTACACACACACACACACACACACACACACACACACACACACACACACAGCAGAGGGCTCCGTGGAGAAAGTTATTTTGCTCTCCGGGGCATGGTGGGAGTGCGCACTGCGTGGGCTGTCTATACCAGTCATTAAAACTAATCCTTCCTGACCGCATCAGACGCAGCTGGAATGGCCACTCGCTTCCCACTGTGAATCCCAGGGGGCACTGCCCCATGTTTGCGGAGCAGCCCTTCTTTTGGACGCCCCCCTAAGGTCTTCCTGTGTAAACTCCGGCCCAACGCTTGGATGAGGAAGGTGGAGTCCAGGGGCGGGAGCCCCAGACACCTGATGCCAAGTAGCCCCACACGGGCCCTGGGCCAGCCCTTCCTGGCTGCGAAGCTCCGGACAGGGAACTTGGACCCCTGGCTGCTGTGTGGCTGCCACGGTGGTGACCCGATTATGCAGGAATAAGTGTTCTATTTGAAAATGAAACATTCTTGCTTACATCTCTCATGTAAGACATTTAAAACCATGTTTCCGAATTAAACATTAGGTATTGCTGCTAGAAACCTCTTAAAACAGTGACCACACGAGGTAACCCTGTAACCAGCGTTTCTCCCATTTGTCAAATGCAGGAAATAACACCAGTTTTTCCTGCTTTATAGGGATATTGAAATAAAATGATTCCTGGGAAAACTTTTTTTTTGAGATAGGGTCTCACTGTGTTCCCCAGGCTGGAGGGCAGTGGTGCGATCACAGCCCACAGCGGCCCAACCTCCGCAGGCTCAAGTGATCCTCCCATCTCAGCCTCTTGAGTAGCTGGGACTACAGGCGTGTGCCACCACACCCGACTACTTTATTTATTTTTATTTTATTTTATTTTATTTTATTTTGCAGAGGTGAGGTTTTACCATGTTGCCCAAGCTGGTCCACATGGGCTGGGCTCCCAAAGTGCCGGGATTACAGGCGTGAGCCATTACACCTGTCCCTGGAAAACTCTTGTCAAATGTAAAGTGTCATATATATGTATCGCTAATACATATACATCAAGCACCTAGGTTTTTAAAAAAAAATAGAGAGAGTAAGAAGGACATGCCACTGTCCAGTGGTCGGGCCATTTTGTGTGGCAGCCTGGTGGTGAGGCTGGTTCCACATGCAGGGTGTGAATGATGCGTGGTGCCCATGGAGTGGTGCCAGCAGTCCTGTGAGACAAAATCCAGAAGGAGAAACAGGACTGTGAGGCCAGGGTGTGAGTGCTGAGAAACCACGCTATAGCTGGGGTCCTCGGACCACGCTTCTTACTGCCAGTGGTGACTTTGGCAGCTTTTCATCACTTCTTCACATGAGCCAGGCCTCCAAAAAAGTAGTCATTCAGTTATTCCACAGTGGCCGAGGGTGACCACATGTCCAGGCTCTGGTTAGGGTGAGGTCTGGGGGAGATGGGCCCAGGTCCTCAAGGGACTTGCAGTTGCTAGGGGGACCACGGAGGCCCCCTCATCTGCCAAATGGTCATTACCTGTTGATCGTTGTGCAAAGCTAGGTGGTGGTTATAACCTCGCTGGCAAAATGAAGCTTTCAGACACAGGCTAGCAAATGATCAGTCATATGCGATGACCAGTGCAGACCACTTCTAGAGGCATCAGGAGTGATGAGGGGGGACTGATGTGTTCAGAGAGACTTTACGCCCAGAGATGGCAGGTGAGAGTCACGAAGGAGAAGTGGGGGTGATACTTCCATTAAGGAACCAGCAGGAGCACCCCACAGAATCAGGCTGGAGGGGATGGCTGCTTTCAGGTGAAGAGCTGCGCCTCTTGGAGAAAGGGTTTGAGAACCAAGGTCGTAGGAAATGGTTTGAGACCGGCTCAGCCAGGACCTGGAGGTAGGGCTGCCAGCTGTAGTAACTAAAAATACAAAATGCCTAGTTAAATCTGGATTTCAGATAGAAAATGAATCATTTTTTAACATAGGTATGTGCCATGTGATATTTGGGTTAGACTAAGAAATATCCATTGTTGAAATCCTAGATTAATGAAGGTGTCCTGCATTTGATCTGGCAATTCTGCCTTGAAGGAGTGAGGACCCCCTCCCGAAGGCATGAGCAGGCTGCGGTGGACGCTGTGGATGGCCTGGCCCTGTGCCCTGGGCCCAGCCCACTCTCACCTGCTGCCTTGGTGGACAGCCTCTCATTCGTGTCTCCCGTCCCACCTGAAGGAATCCTCTTGGACCATGGCAGCTTGCTCAGCCTAGTGCAGGAACCCTGGAAGTGCTGGGATTATGCCCTGACGGCTGCCTTCAATCCAGGAGGGGTGTAGTTGGTGGCCGTTGACCCAGCCGCCCCACTGCTCGGTGGGATATTCTGACCTAGTTTCTGCAGCGTGCCTCAGGGCATCCCTAGCAGGGTGGGGATCCACAGTGTAGCCCACTCATTCATGTACCTTCCTGGCTCTTCTGGTCAGTTCCTGCCTCAGTTTCCCCATCCCCTTGCCCGCACTCCCTGGGATAAACTCCTGAACCTAAGTTCCTGTCTGATTGTCTTTTCTGGGGGGTGGGGGATGTCAACTAAAAAGCCATGAAAGGTGATGAAAACAACTCTGTGGGAATCAGCCTGGAAAACTGTGCAGAGTGGCAGGAAGAGGGCTGGTCACAAGGAAACCAGCTCAGGCGCTTTGGCAAAAGCCCGGGGTAAGGGTCCGAGAGCCTGAACTGTAGTCGTGACGAGAGAATGCAGAAGGGCAGACATGGGGTGTGAGAAGGCCAGCCTGCTTGACAGCAAGGGATTGAGTTGGCAGGAACTGATGTGGAGGTATTTGGGATAAGGGGCAGTTCCTGGGGGAAACGCTGAGCCCGGTTGTGGCCCGGGTGTTTCTCAGCAGAGGGCAGCACGTCCATGGGGAATCACATTTGCATCTTCACCCCAGCCTCAGAGGACTGTGGTGTCCAGGGACTGCCATTGCCAAGGACATCTTGGATTCTGAGGAGTAACTCCTGAAAGACCCTGTGACCCTGGCTGTCCTGTGACTGGGGTCATTTGGTGGCCTCCTGGGGCCCCTAGTGTCCAAGCAGCTTGTCTCTTCATTGACTTGGATTGAGTCGCTTTGGGGACCTCCGCCTCCACCCCGTATCATAAACAGAACCATGGCCTGGGGTGTTAGAGGCAATTATTGCAAATCTCCTCTCTCAGGCTGTGATGATCTTGAATGTCACCACTGCCCCCT